GGGCTCATATGTTCGTATGAGCTAGTGGGCTAATATCAGTTTTTCTTATATATATATATATATATATATATTATAATAATTAATATTATAATAGAACATATTATAATATATTAATATGATGTAGTCTAATAATATGTTATAGTTCTATAGTACAATGGTGAGACCAGTTTTGTTCTATGAGGCAGAATGTTGGGTCGATAAAAAACAATATACATGAATCTATTCAAGAGAATTTAAACGTGGCACCAATAGGCGATAAAACGAGTGGCCATGTGTGGCGCCGATCAGTACAACACCGGTTACGATGGACGAGTTAGTTCAAGTTGAGGACAGAAAATGACCAATTGAGTACAACACATGTTAGGAGGGGCGAGTTAGTTCAAGTGGAGGACTGAAAAGAGAAAAGGGTAGGATATGTTGAAAGTAGTCCGAAACGATATGGGGACTTAATAGCGCAGAATGGAGAACCATGATTTATGTAGCCGGCCCATATTAATTAGAAAAAAAATAAAATGATGATGAATAATCTAATAATACATTATAATATATAATTATAATATGATATAATAATATTATACATATTAATATGATGTATAATATTATAATAATATTACATATTATAATATATTAATATGATGTAATCCAATAATTTATTACATTATCTATCTATACTGCATTATTTTCTCCATGATTTATGTAGCCGACCCATATTAATTGGAAAAAAAGATAAAATGATGATGATGAATCTAATAATACATTATAACATATAATTATAATGTGATATAATAATATTACACATATTAATATGATGTATAATATTATAATAATATTACATATTATAAGATATTAATATGATCTAATCCAATAATTTATTACATTATCTATCTATACTGCATTATTTTTTCCATGATTTATGTACCCGACCCATATTAATTGGAAAAAAGACAAAACGTTAATGATGAATCTAATAATACATTATAATATGATATAATAATATTATACATATTAATATGATGTATAATATTATAATAATATTACATATTATAATATATTAATATGATGTAATCCAATAATTTATTACATTATCTATCTATACTACATTATTCAGTCAGAGTTAAAGGGTAAACATGTGTCAGAAGAATAAGAAAGACCCTATATATAGAAAAATTGTGGGTACATGCTTTCATAATAGACCCTAAAAATAATGTGTCCCTAAATTTTATTGTATAGAGAAGAGAGAGAAGACGGTGCGCGTACGAAACCATAGGAGAGAGAGAGGGACAGAGGTAAGGCGATTTTACATAGAGAGACTTCAAAACCATGAGAGCGACAGAGAAACACAGAGAGAGGGAATATGCAAATAGAAAGATAAAGGTAGAGAATGGCACCTATTTTAGTGGGAGAATAAAATTTAATAAAGAGAAAGAAAGAGAATTGTGTACTTATCTTAAAATATACCTTAAATCTATCTCTAAAAAAAGAGGAGCATGTGATCTTTAAGGGAAGAGAGAGATTAGAGAGTACCCACTTAAACAAAGTTTAAGAGAGAGAAATTTAAGAGATTTAGGGGAAGAGAGAGATAGATAGTACCCACCTAAATAAAGTTTAAGAGAGAGAAATTTGAGAGAGAGAGGAGAGAGACGCACCTAACAAAATCGAGATACTTATTTTAGGAGACCAAAATTTTAATGGAATTTATGTTGTAGAGTGATAAAAATAGAGTAGAAGATGTTGTTACCCTTTCAAATAAGATAATGATGGTCATATAGGATCATTACTATTCAAATAATACATATATCATCTATCTTTCCCAAGACTTATAAGAATTCCAACAACTTTTTAGTTCTCACGATGTCTCTTCCCCCAATTTTCAGGTACGTTCTCCCTTGGTTTACTTTCTCTGTTCCCTATATTTTTTTTTGTTACATTTCTCTCTTGGTTATATCTCTCTTGGTTAACCTTCATGGTTTCAGTTTAGTTTTATGGTTTTTGATTTAGTTTCAATTTCATGGTTTGTATTTATTACGTGGTTATTGGTACAATCTTTTATTCTTGATTCGGTCAAAATCATGAAAAGAAAACTTGAAAATAACCACTTGATTTCTTCTCCAACATTTTTTTTCTTGATTTGGCTAAAATTATGAAACAAAAACTTGAAAATAATCACTTGATTTTTTTTCCAGCATTTTTTTTAATAAGATACCTATTTTAGTCTTCCTCTTTTACCTTAATAGGAAGGAAAAAGGGTTGGGTGAGATGGTGGTTATGTTGATAGGAAAAAGTGCAAGGTGAGATGGTTAGGTTGGTTACAAAAAAAGCAAGGGGTACACAGAAAATGGTTTCTAGAGAGAGAGTTTCTTTAGGGAAAGAGAGAGATGGACATTACATACCTAAACAAAGTTTAAGAGAGAAATTTAAGACAGCAAAACTGAGATATTTTGATTTGGAGACCAAGATTTTAGTAGAATTCATTTGATAGAGTAATAAAAGGAAATAGATAATGTATTTATCCTTTCAAATGATGCATGTCTCCTTTTTCTTTCCCAAGCCCTATAAGAACTCTAACAACTTCTTAGTTCCCATGATCTCTCTTCCGCCAATTTTCAGATACATTCTCCCTTGGTTTACTTTCTCTCTTCCCTATAGTTTTAGTTACATTTCTAACCTTCATTGGTTCGGTTTAATTTCATGATTTACATACTATAAAATATAATATAATATTAATTATAATATAATCTATAATATAATATATGAAATTTATATGTTATAAAAATAATATATGTTATATATAATACACATATTATATATTATATATAATGCCTATATTACATAATATCGATAATATATAATATATAATATATACTATAAAGATTTATGTATATTGTATTATATTATATTGTATTATTCTATACTATATACATTATATTATATCATACATTTATATATTTATATAATATATGTTATAAACTTTACCACAATATGATAAACTTTCTCTAATGCCATATTATATAATATATTATAAAATAATATACCATTTATATAAAATAATATATTCTATATTAAGTATTATTGAAATATAATTTTTGAGGTTATTTTGGTCAATTTATATTTTATGAATTATTTTTTTCATATTTTATTAGGTCCGTCTCACTAAGATGTAAACACGCTCCAAATTTCAAATAATTTGGATTTGTAGAAAACAATAAAAATTGAAATACCGTGGACAATTGTGACCGTGCTATGAAGTTTGGATGGTGATGAGGATAGACGAAATCACTGTTCATTTTCGCCTATAGGCATTGGGAAGAGTTTTCCATGCTATGAAGTTTGGAGTGATGAGGATAGGTGAAATCACTGTTCCATGCTATGAAGCTTGGAGTGATGAGGATAGGCGAAATCACTGTTCCATGCTATGAAGTTTGGAGTGATGAGGATAGGCGAAATCACTGTTCATTTTCGTCTATAGGCATTGGAAGAGTTTTTCATAGATATATAGGAAAAAGATGGGATTAGCACTATCTCATATGAGCATATGAGCCCAACGTCCCAGATCGATTCTGGGCTTATCTGTCGATCACGGATGTCCGATAGTGTTTGAATTTTACTTTTTTTTTTTTTTTCTATAAATCCAAATCTATTGAAATTTTAGAGGGATGTTCATCAAAAATATTTAAATATTGAAAATATCAAAAGAATATTTTACATGAAATAAATTAACCAAAATACCCCCAAAACGTTTGGGGGTATTTGGTCATTTATTATGAATAATTTTTTTATATTTTTATTAGATGCTCCAAGATGAGAAACACACACCTAAAATTTCAAGTGATTTGGATCCATAAAAAAAAACAATAAAATTCAAACACTACCGGACATCCGTGATCATCAGATCGGCCCAGAATCAATCTAGACCGTTGGTATCATATGTTCATATGAGCTAGTGGACTAATCCCATTTTTTTTCCATATATATATATATATATATATAAAATACTATGATATCTCAAAAAGTTGTAAATTATACATACTAAGCTATTGTTAGTTATATCAAGATTTGTCATTTTCTTTTTAACAATTATTTCAAGATTTGTTATTAAACCATATCAAACCTACACGTACAAGAAAAGAGGATCGAGATTCCCTTTCTGAATGGGAAAGATTTTATTTAACACTTAGTGCTTGTAATTTCTAGTTTCTAAATCCAAAAAATAAAAAAGAGGCTCTTTTTTTTAAAAAAGAGAGCTAGGAAAATCTAGTCAAGAAATATAAGAAAATCTAGAAGATTATATTGAAGAGAAAAAGAAAATTAAGAAGATTCGGATTTATCTTAGTTCCTCATGTACACAAAAACATTTTAATCCTATATATTACATACGAAAGCTAATCTACGTAGGATAGGAGTTTATCTTAATCCTATGTACACAATGGTAACGCTATTATTTATTAGCACGTAAATTAGAGGACTCCAAATAGAAATAGAATTTATTTCAAATTCTAATTTAGTTACTCTTATATATACAAAGATGATGAGTCTCTATATTTGGTTACTGGATGAGCAAATTTTTCCTTGGATTCAAATACTGAAAGAAGCATTACTCGCTGCACAAATTTCAGCAATGGTGTCCTGGAATCAGATCAAAGCTTAGTCGCTACAAAAATTTCAGCAATGGTGTCCTGGAAAACAATATTGCTTGCTTTCGGCATAACAACAATAGATGTCGGGATGCTTGAATTGGCCTCCGCCATTGGCGGGAGTGGTGAGCGTGGTATAATTTTCAGGATCCCTTATTCCTCATTGGTTGTTCTTAAGGGATGCAATAATTAAGAAAATAGTGGATGATGATGAAGAGTTAGAAGAATTCTTTGATAATGAAGAGGAGATGAACATGAAAAGGCCACTCGTACCAGAGATTATCATTAGCATCCCAACATTAAAGATCGGAAGTGTGTCTTCACCGTATTTCTCGAAGAACAACTTCTGTCTAATTTGTTGGGAGAATTTCATGGAGGGAGAGATAGTCAAGGAGTCAAATTGTGTCCCTGCAGCGACAAGTGGCTCTGCCAAGCTAACTATTACGCTTATTGTCAAGGAGTTGTATCCTTGCAGCCATATCTTCCATGGTGCCTGCATTGACAAGTGGCTCGGCGCAGCTAACTAGACAAAACATATTGCACAAGGTTTATCATACTGCCATGAAACATCTAATCTATTTTCTTTTGGTTGTAGCGTGAATTATTTTATTTTTTATTTTTATAATCTCTTTTTTTTTGGTTGCAATTTAAACTCCTCTTCTTACTTGTGATGTTCAACAGCTTTAATTTTTTTTTTTTTTTCCTTTTGGTTGCCGCTGTTTTTTTTTTTTGTCCTTTTGGTTGCCGCTGTTTTTTTATGTTAAAATTTTATTTCAGATAGCAAGATCGTGTAAGTCTATTTCCTTTTTCATTTTGTTGTTCAAGAACTTCAAATCCAATTTTTTTTCTTGAAAACAAACACTCGAGGATAGTTTAATGGATGATCACATAAATCCTTCCAAGTTGTTGTTTTGCCTGAGGACGTTGTTATTGAAGCTCACTATATGAACTGCGTAACAAGTTAGAGCTAGTGATGAGGGCCAGATTTTTGGGGTCAATGAGATTTGAGCTTGGTTGTTTCAGGATTTGTTATTAAACCGGATCAAACTTACACAGATAAAAAAAGAGATTTATCTAATTCTGATCTAAATTCTGATTCCTAAATGGTGAAATATTTTTAAAAAGTAATTTTTTTTTCAGAAGCTAAGAAAATAAAGAGAGATAAGAAAATCAACTAAGAAAATAAAGAGATAAGAAAATCAAGAAGATTACTTTACAAAAAAAGAAAGTAAAGAAGATCGGGAATTTATCATGTCCCACGAAATAAATTATCTTTTTAAGTGATTAAATGAAGTCTCTCTCTCCCTCTTTGAATTATCTTTTTTAAATGATTAAATGAAGTCTGCGTCTCTCCCTCTTTGATGCAATGTGATCTTCTTTTCTCAAGATAACATGATCTATATATGTCTTATGGATAAATGGAAAAATATTTTCATATCTCTTATAAATAAATGGAAAAATATTTTCATATCTCTTATAAATAAATGGAAAAATATTTTCATATCTCTTATTTTTAGGTTTCATGGTTGATAAATCTAAGGTTTCAAAATATATTTTCTAACCTCCTGATCACTTTAACCTCTTTTTTAACTTAAATAAATGTGAGAAAGATATACTTTTGACCTACTTTTTAACCTAAACAAATGTGAGAAAGACATACTCTTTTTAAACCCGATCATTTCGCTCTCTTCACTTATATACCCCAAACTTCTCTCTTTTTGCATCTCTCACTCACTCTCTCTGTCTTCCTGTGTTTCACCAAACACCTTTTTTTCTCTATCTTCTCCGTAATCTCTCACCTCCATAAAACCTTTCTCTCTCTTTAGAAGTTTGGGATGGCTTTTAGAAAAGGCAAGCCTTTTTAGATTTATTTATCTAAAAAAATAGGTTTAAATTACTTTTTAAATTTGTTTGGCTTTTTCTCTCTCCTCTCGGTAATCTCTCACCTCCATACAACCTTTCTCTCTCTCTTTAGAAGTTTACTTTTTAATTTATTTGGCTTTTTTTCTCTCTCCTCTCCATATCTCTCACCTCCATAAAACCCTTCTCTCTCTCTAGAAGTTTGGGATGGCTTTTAGAAAATGCATGTCTTTTTAGATTTATTTACCTAAAAAAATAGGTTTAAATTACTTTTTAGATTTGTTTGGCTTTTTTTCTCTCTCCTCTCGGTAATCTCTCACCTCCATCAAACCCTTCTCTCTCTCTAGAAGTTTGGGATGGCTTTTAGACAAGGCATGTCTTTTTAGATTTATTTACCTAAAAAAGCAGGTTTAAATTACTTCAGGTTTAAATTAGAGGGGTTAGAAGAAATAAAATCTACGATTTTTATGCTCAAAGATATCTTTTAAAACCTTGAGTCTATTGCGAAATGAAACTTAAAAATAGAAGGTATGGAGATATTTTCCTTGGATAAATATATAAAATAAATAATATAAAGTCTAAAAAATTGAAATTTTTTTTTTTTTGGATCAAGTTATTTGAATATAAGATTTTTTATTAAACAGATCATTCTCAAAATGAGAACATGCAATCCTCGATCGATAAAATAAAAAAGTGGCGTTTTTTTTTAAAACTAAAAAAAGAAAGCTAGAAATTAAAATACTATATATTATATAATATATAAATAATATCACCATCCAAGTCGGATTTGGGTTGGGTCCACACGGACCTGAACCCAAATCCAAATAGTGTTCGAGTTTAATATTTGGACATGGACCTATTCCGTTGGGTTCAATTTTTGAACCCATACCCAGACCCGGGTTGGGTCTGGGTCCATTGCTGCCCTTAGGTACGAGGAATGACCATGATTGGATGTGTTGTTTTTTTTTTTTGTTAAATTAGTTTTCTAAACTAGCACCGTATAAAGATTTTCTATGCCTGTAAATCCATAAATTTGAAAGGATTGCTCACAATAATTGTACTAGCCAACCATCCATTTTGAATGGAGGGTTAAGATGGCCCCAATCACAATGTCACATCTCTATATTATTTTAATTTTAACTTTTTTTCTATAAACTATTTTGACACCAAATTTTGGTCGTCCAATCCTCTATTAAACTCGCACATCTAAAAAATATAAAAACAATATTCCCAAAAGTAAAATGGCCATATTCCCAAAATTAAAATGGCCAAAATATCTCTGAAGGTTTTGATGGGGTATTTTGGTCATTATATTTTATCACAAAATTAATTTTGGCCAAAATACCTTTGAAAGTTTTGAGGGGGTATTTTGGTCATTATATTTTATCACAATATTAATTTTTAATGTTTTTTATAGGTGCGTCTCAATGAGAAAATGACACATACCAAATTTCATATTCATACAATTTGTATAAAACAAATTTAAAATAAAATACTCTCAGACATCGGATCTAAGATCAAACGGTGAGTGGCTCAGTTGATCAACATGGCCGGGTGGATGATAGGCGAAGCATAAATCTTCTACATTGCAGAGAAAATATATAATTATAATATGATATAATAGTATTATACATATTAAATATATAATATTATAATAATATTATAATAATATTACATACTTTAATATATTAATATGATGAAATCCAATAATTTATTATATTATCTATCTATACAACATCATTAAACCAAAGTTAAAAGATGGACACACATGTCAAAAGAAGAAGAATAAGAAGGGACCCTATATATAAAAAAATTGTGGGTACATGTTTTCATAATAGATCCTAACAATAATGTCCCCAAATTTGAATGTATAGAGAGGAGAGAGAGAGGAGAGTGCGTGTCCTAAACCATAGGCGAAAGATAGAGGGTTGCCTTAAGAAGGGACCCTATATATAGAAACATGTTTTCATAATAGACCACTATAATGTTCCTAAATTTTAATTTATAGAGAAGAGAGAGAGGAAAGTGCGCGTCCTAAACCATAGATGAAAGATAGAGGGTTGCCTTAAGAAGGGACCCTATATATAGAAAAATTGTGGGTACATGTTTCCATAATAGGCCCTAACAATAATGTCCCTAAATTTTAATGTTTCCATAATAGGCCCTAACAATAATGTCCCTAAATTTTAATGTATAGAGAGAAGAGAGAGAGGAGAGTGCGTGTCCGCGAAAGAAAGAGGGTTGCGTGGAGAGAGAGAAGAAGTTTATTTTTTTAGAATCTCTCCAAATTTTGAGAGAGAAAATTAAAGAGATATCAACTCTAAAAAAGAAATATTAATGAGATATCTCCTAAAATTTAGAAAGATGTTGAAGAGAGAACTTAAATTTTAGAGACACGATACATGTTTAGAGAGAGATAGAGTCTATGGATTCTAAAAGGGAAAAAGTTTATATAAGAATGTAACCTTATAATGTAGAACTACGGATGCACTTCAAAAATCCATTAGAAAAAGGTAGAATGTAGAACTACGGATGCACCTCAAAAATCCATCAGAAAAAGGTAGAATGTAGAACTACGGATGTACTTCAAAAATCCATCAGAAAAAGGTAGTTTTAATGTTGAAAAACCTTTGATTGATCATCTCAATAATCTTCTAAATGAAGATTATTTTTGTAGTCTCCCAAAATCTTGCGAGAGAGCATTAAGGAAGTACCATTCTAAAAAAGAATCATTAATGAGATATCTCCTAAAATTTTAAAACATGCTATTGAAGAGGTATCCTAAAGTTTAGAAAGATGCTAGGTAAGGCGATTTTACACAGAGAGACTCCAAAGCCATGAGAGAGGGAAACAAATAGAGAGAGAGGAAATATGCAAAGAGAGAGATAAAGATAAAGAATATCACCTATTTTAGTGGGAAAATATAATTTAATAAAGAGAAAGAAAGAGAATCGTGTACCTATCCTTAAACATACACTAAATCCATCTCCAAAAAACGTGGAGCATGTCTTGAGCGGAAGGGATAGATAGAGAGTACCCACCTAAACAAAATTTCGAGAGAGAAATTTAAGAGAGAGAGAGAGAGGAGAGAGACACACCTAACAAAACTGAAATATTTTTTTTAGGAGACCAAAATTTTAATAGAATTTAGTTTATAGAGTGATAAAAAGAAAGTAGAGGACATAGTTATCCTTTCAAATAATGCATATATAATCTATCTTTCCTAAGACCTATTAGAACTCCAACAACTTTTTAGTTCCATGATCTCCCTTCCCCCAATTTTCAGGTACATTCTCCATTGGTTTACTTTCTCTCTTCCCTATATTTTTAGTTGCTTTTTTAACCTTCATTGGTTCGGTTTAGTTTCATGGTTTTTTATTTAGTTTTAATTTCATGATTTAGATTTATTTTGTGGTTATTGCTACAAATTTTATTCTGGATTTGGTTAAAATTATGCAAAAAACTTGAAAAGAACCACTTGATCGGAAAAAAAGGGCGAGGTGCTTCAATACCAAACATACATCATCGATGATGTCTCTTTGTTGTGTTGATAGGAAAAAGGTCCAGGTGCTTCAATACCTAACATGGTTCATCGATAACGTTTCTTTGTTGTGTTGATAGGAAAAAGGTGTAGGAGCTTCAATATTAGGAAAATGTTGTCTTGATAGGAAAAAGGGGTAGTAACTTCAATATTAGTTCAATGTTACTTCATCTGTGGCTTTCATCGATGATGTAGCTTTGTTACAAAAGAAAACA